CATGATTTGGGAACCAAATACTCTGTGCCAAATTGAAACTCCTGACATGTACTGTACTCCTTCATACTTTTAAGGCAGGGATGTCCAACCCACAGCCTACTGTACTCTAAACTTTTTTAGGTGTATTTTCATTTATTTTGGTAAAGTATGTTGTAAAACTTATTCTTGTTTCACTGGATACACTTTGATTTCATAATGATGTAGTTGGTTTTAGAAAACTATTTTATGTATAGAACTGTTATGCATGTGGAGTAGTACATACCGTTGTGAACAATTCTTTTTGTGCATGAAAAACATCAAAACTGCTAAAAGAAATAGGTTGAGTGATTCCAATTTAACTAACATTCTTAGAATTAAGACTAGTATCATAAAAGCAGATATTGACAATATTATAAAAGGAAGGCAATGTCAAAAATTACATTGAATTTATTTTTATCTTGTGTGAGTATAATTTCTGTTTTTAATGTCAATAGTACAGTATTTTTTATAATAATATATATTTGTTATTAAAATTTGATATTCAAATTTTGAACTTTTTAAAAGCATATACAGTGGTACCTCTGTATACGTCTGGTTTAGAATACGTCTAATTTGGAATACGTCCTGTTTGGACGAAACAAATTTTGCTTGGTATATGACTTAATTCAATTATACGCTCCATCTATGAACAAGTAGCACTATCAGTGTACTAGAATAGACTAGACATTCGTGGTGCCACAGTTTATAACTTTGTTAAATTTCTTCCGATTTTAATTTGTAAGTAAAATTTTATTATTTTTATTAATCATGAATTACAAAAAGGCAAGTGAAAAGCAACAGAAAACTAAAAAAAAATGACTAGAATCACAATAGAACTGAAAAAAAAGATTGCTGAGGAATATGAAGGTGGCGCGGCCGGATGGCCGAGTGGTCAGGGTGACAGCCTACCGCTCTGGGGGACCCGGGCTCAAATCTGAACGGGTTGTAAAATCCCCAGGAATTTTTCGGGGGGTGGTTCGTTCGGATATGTTGGGCTCCGTCCCTCACCACCTGGCAGCCCCATTGTCAGCCTGGCTGAACCCATAATGGGCTTGTGAAAAGAGGCCTCTTAGTGCCCACAGGGCAGAAAGAGTTAAAAAAAAAAAAATGAAGGTGGCATGCATGTTTGAGATTTAACTGTTGCATACCGTATTCCGAGAAAGACGATATCGACAGTCGCAAAAAATAAAGACATTATTAAATCTGCTAACATTGCAAAAGAGGTTAAATCAATTTCTAAACAGAGATTGATGACATTAGATTATGTTGAGAAATTGCTTTTGCTTTGGATAACTGAAAAACAGTGTGCTGGAGACAGTGTATCAGAAGCAATTATTTGCGAGAAAGCTAAAAAGATACATGCTAATCTCATGAAAAATCAGGCAGGAACTAGCCAGGAAAGCGAGGTGTTTAAAGCCAGCCATTTTTTTACATGAGAATGGATTAATCATTTTTACATTACTTCTTATGGGAAAGGTTGGTTTGGTATACGTCCAATTCGGTATAAGTCCAAACATTAGGAACGGATTAAGGTTGTATACCAAGGTTCCACTGTATTTATATAAAGTACCTTTGTGGCCTGCTGAATGTATCTAAATTTCTAATTTGGCCCATTAGGAAAAAAGGTTCGACAACCCTTGGCTATACCTTGTAACCACACCAGGCAATGCTTTGCGGTACTGGGTATGTACCAATTTGCCAATTTGTATGTTAATAAAAATATTGACTGACTACTTATTTGTTTGGCTTGCCTGGTCTCCACATTTGCTGTCCATTAAGCATTTGTGGAACAAGATAGGACACCAGCTTCAACCATATGAATAGAGAGATTTGGAGTGACAGATGCAATATTTGTGGAAAAATATGTTACAGGATAGCATACAATGTCTGTAGGTCTTCATACCTGACCATATTGTTGCATGCATCCAGGTAGGAGGAGGTTCCATAAGATTGATTTAAATTGTAACTCTCATATCAAAGACTCTCTTTGACATGAGAGGTACAATTTAGAATAATCTTTGCTACGATATTTTAACCACTTACTACAGTTTTCATTATATTTGCACTAATAAAGTTTCATTTGATTTCAACATTTCCTCTTCCTTCATGTGTAAGTTTTTTTTGTAAATGAGCATAGATTTTAAGAGACAATTTCATCCAGACAATAAAATAAGATTAATTTTTTTATGACTTTGTATATATTAATAGATCAGTGGCTAAACTTTTTGAATAGATGTTCCCATTTTAGCAGTTTTTTGACTTCATAGAAAGGTTCTTTCACCATACTAGGGAGACAAACACATGTCAGTTTGAGGTCCATGTTGTAGATTGAAAGTTAAATGAGTTTCAGTTAATGCATGATTCTCTGGAAATATTTAAGTAGATAAGCTGAATTTTATTGTTTACATGCTATTGTTAAGAACTCAAATTAATATTTGTTATGCTGTTTAAACATATTTATTTTCTATTTAAATAAAACTTTAAAATGGCATACTTTAAGCAGAACTTCAAATTATTTTTCAGGATGAATTTTATCTAATTGAATATAATTATTATATATATATTTACTAAAATATTTTTTGAAAATTGAATTTTTTTATTTTTTACCAGTTCTTATTATGAATAACTATTTATTATTAAATAAGTTATTTGTATATGATTATTGACTTTGCTTAGATTATGTTTTTATTATTTTTTTTGTTGTTTTGTGTAATTTTAATATTTTTTCATAGTACCTTGTTATGGATTATTACTGTGGTGGAGATTTATTGACACTATTAAGTAAATTTGAAGACCGCCTTCCAGAAGATATGGCAAAATTCTATATTACAGAAATGATTCTTGCAATTGATTGCATTCATAAATTGAATTATGTACATCGAGATATCAAACCTGATAATGTACTTTTAGATGCCAATGGTCATATACGTCTTGCTGATTTTGGTTCTTGCTTAAAACTTCTTGAAGATGGAACAGTAAGATATTTTTTTTAGTATAGAATTTTAAATTATTTAAAATTTATTTAATTATACTAATTAATTTTATGTAGTAAATTAGAAATTTTTAACATTATATATATAAGCTGTTGAAAGTGAAAGTGGTAATTCACTTTTTGTCTATATTGAGAAATTTAGACCTGAAATTAAGTGCTGATTTAAAAATTACTTCAAATTTATTGTTAAGTGCTTCTACCTGTGAGTAAGTAATGTAAATATTCTTATTTCTTTACAAAGAAAATAATACTATCAGGAACTGAAACTCAGCAGCAATGTAGGTTTTTGGAAAAACTGACTTACACCACTTTTGCTTTCAATAGTTCATATTAGGATTTCTCATTTCTCGGTCTTTTGCTTGTCCCAGGATTTTGGGAAAAAGTGAACTGTTTCTTGGAATCCCAAGGGCAAATAATTGTTAACGTTAACTCTATGTCGCTTACTGACAAACAATTGTGAGATTGGCTCAGAGGACTTTCTTAAAAAGCCATTCGATGTTAAAGTCGGATGGCTTTTTACGAAAGTCCTAAATGAACAAGGGTCTGTAAGGATCCTCTGGAAGTTGTTTTCCTGACACCAGATAGTCTAGTTCGCGGACTATCACACATTTGCGAGAAATTTCATGTAGGAGAGTTGCAAATTAGTGGAGTAGGCAAAGGCATTGGATTTAGTCATTAAGGAACTATATTTAAACAAATAACAATAAAATTTAATTGAATCAAACAAACTACTAATACAATTAATAGGATTACAAATGATATATTCTAGACCTATCTCGCAGAGAGTCTATTCTCTAATTTAATCTAAATCAACCTATACGCATGAGAGAGAGTGTATATTATATTATATTACCTTCACAATATGAAGCTTATCTTGTCTTCAGTTGTCTTTCTGTTCAGGATAGGGGAGAAGTTTGGAAATTGTAATATTTGTGTATGCACTATTTAAAATATGGCTGATTCTGTACTGTATGGTAACCTTCTTCGGAGGATTACCTAAGTTCTGTATGGTAATCTTCTCTTAACAGACTACCTTGATTGGCGGGAAAAAGCCCTATTTATAGGCGGCTTCTCCAGTGGCCTTCATTATGTGCAAAAACTGATTCATCAGCAAGTTGGCCATCTAAAGGAAGTTCAACTTCCCTTTTTTCCGATATGACGAATGTTATATCCTTTCTTTAAAAAATTTTTCCTCAATATTTTTATACATTAAAATATTCAAAATACATTTAAAATTTTACATTAATTAAAAATGATCCCCCAGATCTCATGAAATATCTTGAAATCAAATGATATAATTATTTTTCATTTTTTAAAGTAATTTAATACATTCTGCAACCTCCAAAATCATATTAATAATGCTGTGTAAGATATATATTAAAAATTACCTTTGAATTGCTTAGAAATTTTCACAAATAGAAAAAATTTATTAAAGTTTGCTGGAAGCTGCATACAAGAATAACAAAATGCTTTGAATTGAGTTGAAAATTTAAAAAAAATGAACTTAGATGAAACTTATAACTTAAAAAGTAATTTTTGTTTTTTAAATAAAACATAATACAAAATAGTATTGTAAATTTTTATAATAAGATTTTAAAAAGAAAAGTGGTCAATACTCCGATCACTCAGTCTAATTCTTATTTTAGTAATGAAAAGTCCTGCTACCGAGAATGCCCTTTCCGATTCAATTGATGTGAGTGGAATCATGTTTAATGCATTTAAGAGAAGACAGATGTTATGTGTTTTTTAACCCTTAGCCTGTAAGATTTCTAGTTTGTTTTCGAGATTGTAGTACTACTTTTGCTCTTTAGTATTCTTGATTTGTCTACCTCGGCTGCTATAGTAGAAACATCATGCTTATAGCCCAATAATTCGGCATTTGTTTGTCTTTAATAATCAGGTTTATGAAGAAAAACTTCATACTCTGTATCCTTGCCCAATTTGCACAACCTGGAGTTACTAAGTTAATGAAGCTACTGGGCATGGTTAAAAGTTAAGACAGCCTAAGTGCAATTATTCCTGATATTATAGGTTCTGACAAGTAAAGAATTTTCAGAGTCCTGCCACAAATAAGCTACGTGTTGATTATTGACCATTTGTGGCATGCCATAATGAGCAAAAATTTAAAAAACTAATAAGTAGGTTTAAAATTAATAAATACAAATGTATTCTGACAGTTTATGAGTTAATTATACTTTTTATTTGCAAATTTCTTAACCTTAACACAAAATAAGAAAAAAAGTGAATTTTTAAGAAATTTGCAGGATTTCCCGGGTTAAAAAACAACCGGGATTCCATTTGAAAAAAAAACCCTAGTTACCAGCCTAGGATCATCTTTTTGAAAGAGAAATTGAATATTTAAAATTAATAAAACAGAGTGCCAAAAAAGGCCTGAAAATTTGCAAAACGTACACAGATGTAAGAGTACTTCACACTATCTAACCAGCTTCCTTGTTGGCAGAGTGGTAATAAGAGAATGCATCTCTCTCTCTCTCTCTCTCTCTCTACTTCTACCTCTCTAATAACTGTAGTTTGAATCTAATTTATAAATAAACCTGTATATTTTTTTTATTTGCTGATCTGCTTTTTGTATGTATTAGTCTGTTTATAACTGTGATTTTTGGTAGAAGCTTTATGACAGAAATGTTAGTCACTAAACTATAGGATTTTTATTTATATGCAGTTTAACATTATGTAATTTTCCCATTAAAAGTTTGACTTCCACTAATAATTATATACAGTGGTGATATTCGAAATATATAACAAAGGGTTTGCTAACAGAAAATTTTTCCTTAACAATTTTTTTTCGCTCAAATGGTGCATTAGCAACATTAGCGCAAAAATTGACCTTAAGATACCCATATAAATAAAAAAGATGCGTTCGCAAAATTAAGTCAGTTAAAGTTTAACATTGTTTATGCCAGAACTATATATATATTGATAAATAATAAAAAAAGTGTTCAAAATGGTTTATTTTGTACATATTTTAATATTTTTCATTCAAAATATTTTATAAACATAAAAATTGGCTTTTTTTTAATCAGAAAAAGTCATAGGGAAAGCAGTTAAACAAGAAAAACTTTTCTAAATCATTTATTTTATCGTTAGGTATTATTATAATAATAGACAGATGTCATCGTCTATCGAAATACAATATCTTTTTTATTTCGCTGGCAATAGCACGACACGTGTTCCGCAGCCATCTTGTATTTTCTCGCGAGCGTGGGATTGTGGGACCTCTCGTACGACTGGACTTGTTTCAAGAACTCTCTTGAGTCGATCGAGATTGAAACGGTCGATGGAGGTTGCACCAAGGCGAACGGGGTATAAGGCTCTAGTTTAGTAGTGCTACAGAGTATAATATGTATATTTTAATATATTTTTTAAAAGAAACAAAACCACTGAAAAATATTACGTGTGTTTAACAACGGGTTCGGAAAACTTTGAAAATGTTAACAACGGGTTCGGCCGAACCTGTGCGAACCCACTGAATATCACCACTGATTATATACCATTTATATGAATTTTATTCATTTAGATAAGTTGCTTAACATGATGGGATATTTAACTTTCCATTATGAAACTTTTTTCTTCACTTGAGGGTTTTACATAATTTTGTAGTTTGAATTCCAGAAATGCATTTAAAATGATGGTTAATACATTGTTGATATCATTTGATGTATGTTATAAATACTTGAAAATGAGAATCATGAAATAATAGTGCTTGAAGGGAACAAATAACACTGTGGAAAATTATAATTTAAAAAAGTGTGTATAATCTAACCACCATAAAATTAAACAGAAACTTTATGAACATTACATACATTTTACAAAGATAATGTTTCCATGCAACAAAATCCTTCAATTAGATGGAAAAAAACCCACTGTCTAAATACAATGAAATATCAGAAGATATTAGAAAAATTTAATTTCTTCTAAACAATATCTTGAATACAGGTAAAAAAATTTACTAGTGTTATCATATTACAATGTCACAGCTGGGAAGATGACGTGTGCTACTTGTGTATGAATGTATACTGTTATTTTTAGGCTATTTTTTGCACTTAGAGTAATTGGAGACAAAAATGAATTTTATTTTATTTATTTTATTTTTTGGAAACAAATACATCCAATAGTTCTTGAAACATCTTTTATTCCATATATGGGTTGATAGGTTTTCCTTGTAAATTACTAAATCCAAGCAAAATTATGTATTTAACAACATTATTCAATTAGTAGATAATAAACTTACCATATTTCAATGCATATAAGAACATGCTATTATAGCTGGGCAAAATTTGTACTATATTTTATAAAATACAGTAGTCCCTTGTTATATCATGTATGTCGGGAGACAAAGAAAAAGCGAGATATATCTAACAGCACAATATAACAAGAGTACTAAAAATTCTGTGCTTATACATAAACAAATTATATATGCTATTGAACCTCTATCCTCTATTCTTTCATCAGCAAGAGTTTCTCATATAAAATAAGCTTAATTTTTTAATACTGAATTTATTCATGGTTATATTATATTAATTTACATTTATGTAAACATTGATACCATAAATGCCCATTTAGCATCATAGTTTCTTTAACAATGACATTTAAAAACAAATACTGTCAATATAAAAACAAAATATCAGTTTCAATTTTATCATACAGTACTATATTTCATAATAAATTGCTGATTAAAAATTCGTCGAATGTATATTTTTCAATAAAAATTATTAATACAGTAATTAAAAATTTAAAAATCAAATATTGAACATATAATAGAACATCAAAATTTACAAAATTACAAAGAGTAAAAATTCTCTATAAAGCAAAATAAAGTCACTACTGTATAAATATTTTAGAAATTTCTGTTCAGAAATTAAAAAAATTTTTTTCTTGCATATTTCCCAGTGAATTTGAAACTTTACACCTTCATGTGAATTGACTGTTTCAGTCAAGTTTGGAATTCACAGAAACTTGTAAATGAGGAGAGAGTACTTAAAACCAATAAATAAACAAGTTTTAATATCAAAAGGAAACATAAATGATAAGTGATCTGTCCACCTGTTTTGCTTATTTAATTCTTGATGAATTTATTGTTTCACCCACAGTGGTAGTTTCAAGGACAATGGTAGGAATAAAATACAGTATTTTGTTGCAAAAAGAAATTGAGTGGCAATTGATATTTTAAAATTTATTGACCCAAGTGTTTTTAAAATTTTGGAGATAAAAAAAAAAAAAGCACTATATAGTTGAATCCATGATAATGAGGGGCTACTTTATTTTAAAAATTTGCATTATTTTAATCTTTCTTGTATGGGAGAGCACTTATTATCTACATGACATTTGCCTGTAAAGCTGATTAATAAAAATAATATATAAATAACTTTTATATTAGCAGAAGAATTTATTTTTAATAATGGTACAGAGATGTCACTGAATAGTTACTGTGTCATTATATTTACATTGACACAAGCAGTCAGTGCCAAGCTAGCACGTATAAGAGCTTGCCTGCTCTTATGTGCAAGGTATGTTCTTATAATCAAAGCAGGACATGTTTCAAAACTGCAAAAACAAGCAATTTTTACATATAAGAGAATGCTCTTATATGTCTGAAAATACAGTAATATGTTAAGATGGATGTTTATAAGTACAAAATCATAAAAACAATTTGTAAGTAAACAAACTTCAATTATATTTCAAATATTATTGGTTGAAACATGACCATCTTAATTCAGGAATATTAGAAAATTAAATGAAATAAAATATAAATTTAAATGAAGGTTGTTCTTGTACAGACAAAGAATGGATTTTAGACAAATTAATGAATATGAAAAGTACATTAAGCTAAAGTATCAAGAAAATTTTGAAAAAATTTCTTAAAAAAGTGGATGTTTAAGAGAATTTCTTGAAAACCATAGGTTGATATTATGAGATGGTCTGGGTGGGGTTTCTGGTGTGAAAAAGTAGTTACAAATATGTAGCCAAATTTTGAAGAAGAATAAAGTGGATATATTAATCAAAGTTTATGGTGAAGAACAACTCCCAAAAAAGTTATTGTTTCCAGTGGGCAACAAACATTTTCAATATCCCAAAGGGTAATGTAGGGTTTTTCAATGAAAATAAATTTAGTCAATTCATAGATCTGTTGTGATAATAGATATTATATATTCTGTTACACAAATCTTAAGTTTTCTCATTCTAAATCTAAGTGATGGTTTCTACATATAGTGTTATTTTATAATTTAATGGCTGCTTTAAGGGAACCAATAGACCTCAGATTTTTCTTGTGTGAGAAGGCAGTCTCTGACATTGGATAGAATGCCATAATTAACAAGATAGAGATATATTGTAGATAAGAAATAATTAGAAGTGAACTAAATCAGAATTTACACATTAACTGGCTATAATCTTTAATACAGTAAATATAATAAACCAATAGTAACTGAAACTTATACCATTTTCACCCTTTTTGTCAATTGACTTTTAACTGGAAGAATAATTAAATTGCATAAATATTCATAATGACTTTTATATTGTAACTTTTATATATATATATATATAAAAAGGTGCTTGAAAACT